CCAGAAAAGAGGCATTACTCTACACCTAATACAACCAAACATGGCATGATTTAGGTGATCAAAAATAGAGGTATGACATGTCAAAAGGAGCCCAAAAACCCGCTTAGATGGCATCCCAAGTACCCAAGCATGTTGGCACACACAATGTCACATTCATGAGGCACAAAACACAAACCCTTTAAAGCATTAAAGGAGTGATAAGTGTAAGCCTTCAAGCATGTTATATGGACTGAAATGACATTATAAGTGGTGCCAAACCGCTGAAATGGCCCAAGTAAAACATGCTCATTACTCACACACCCAAAGCCAACAAGCTAGATTACATGGTAGCTATACAAAACAATGCAAGCATGGCCAAAACAATGAAAAATTGAACTTAAGCATGCTACAACAAGCCTAAAAGCTTCATGGAGTTGGGCCAAAATCATGCTAAAAACACATGTTACAACATGATGCATGTTAAGGCCAAATCATGGGTTTGCAAGACAAGTATACAAAGCAAGCATGGCATGTCTAAACCAAGGCAAAAACAGTGCTATATCATGGCAAAACAATGCCTAATATATACTGAAATGAAACTAAAACAAGCTAGGCAAACATGCTACAACATAAGCCATTTATGCAAGCATTAAAGACAACAAGGAGAGGGGATGACCCTCTCCTTTTTAGGACTTCAAAACCACCTCTCCACCACTGAAAATCCTCTGGATTTCAATGGTAGAGAGGCCATGCAAAGACCAAAACAATGGCCAAAAGGTATGGCCTAAAACAAGGCCTAACAAGGCCTTGGAGGGGGGGGGGGGACCTCAAAGTGACCTTAAACAAAGTTCTAAAACACACAAAATCAGAACTTTTATCAGTTATAGTCGAGGCTTAAAACAATAAGCAAGATATGCTAAAAGCTTGTGCAAAAATGGGAAATAAAAAGATATGTTCTCACCTTTGAAGAACCTCTTCAAGAACACCACCCCAGCACCTTCCTTGGATCAAAACCAACCCAAGAACCTTAACAACAACTCCTTAGAGCCTCAGCAACCAAGGATGGTGTAACACTAGGTGTTTGTGTGCACTAGTGTGAACAAAAGTCACTTTAGGGCACAAAACAAACACACAAAGGCAAAGAGAAGGAATTATAGAGATAGATAGATGTAAACTTCCTAACCCTAATTCTTTGAACCTAGAGGAGGGAGGAGGGACTCCCTCTTTATAGAGGTTCAAATCCTCAAGCTTCCAAGAGAAGCTAAACAAGAGGCAAATCCCTCCATACACGTGTATGGAGGGGGTGTAATGTGGATGCCAGCTGTGACAACTGGCATAAAATATCTGCCAAAAGCGGATGGAAAGGGGTCGACTGGAAAATATGGCCAATTGACCAACAAAAATGGCCGACCGACCAAATACATTGCCGACCGACCAAAATATTTGGCCGGTAGCAAGAAAACAGAGCCGGTAGCCTCAAGCCAAGGCCGGTGAGGTGTGGGGATGGCCAACAAGCCATTCCATGCCCTTAGAAGCAAAACACAAGTGTTTGGTGTACAACCAAGCACAAAACAAACAAGTCAAGAGGTCTTGAGGCAAGGTGCGCGACCGAAACCTCTGAGAACTCAAGACGAACACGAACATGGATGATCACCTAGTGTTCAAACGGCGACGTCCAAGTCTTGAGGACGGTCAAAAATAGGGTGTCTACACACCAGAACCATCCTCCATACACGTGTATGGAGGGATGGCCTTGGACCCTAAGCTTGTCCAACAAGCTTACACTTTTGTTTCCTATAAGAGGGAGGCTCCCCCTCCCTCCTCCAGGTTTAGCTTTTTGGTGTTGGAGAGTGATAGATACATATATATCTCTATATCTCTCTCTTTGTTTCATTTTTGTGCCTTAAAGTGTAGTTTTATCATACTTTAACACACAAACACACACTCAAACACCATCCTTTTGTTGCTGAGGTTCTTAGGAGCTAGTTTTGGTGTTGTTGGATTGGTTTGAGCTTGGAAAACTTGCTGGAGTTGTAGCTTCAAAAGTGTTCTTCAAGGGTGAGCCTTTAACCCCTTAAACCTTGCTTTTTGCTTAAGCTTTTGAACCTATTTGCATGCTGTTTTAGGCTTAACTTCCTACTACAAAAAGTTTTGATTTTGGGTCCTTAAATTGTTTGTTTAAGGTCACTTTTGTGTTGGGGGTTGTCTACCCCCTCTTAGGCCTTGTTTGGCCTTGCTTTTGTGCCTTCTTTTTAAGCTTTTGGGACCACCTTATTTTGACCTTCTCACCACTGAAACTCAGGGGAATTTCAGTGGTGGAAGTGGTGTTTTGAGGTCCCAAATGGGAGAGGGTCATCCCCTCTCCTTGTATTTTGTTTACTTGCTTTGAATGCCTCATGTGTGAGCATATTTTTTAAGCTTATGTTGGCCATATCTTAGCTTGTATTTGGGGTTATTTTGCTATGGCATACCACTGTTTTTACTTGGTTTTATCACTCCATGCATGCCTAATACACTTGTAGTGTAAATCTCATAAACTAGTCTCGTATGCTTCATGAAGTAGCATGTCATTCTAGCTTGATTTGAGTCCATTTCAGCATGTTCTTGGTGTTGCTTTTCCATGTCATACCTCTGTTAAGGTTTGGTTTGGTTGGCCCTTGCATGCTCCTTACACTTGTAGTGCAATTCCTTAAATTAGCCTAACATGCATCATGCTTTAACATGTCATTCTAGCATGCTTTTGGCTTAACTCTAAGAAGCTTTTGTCCATGTTTTAACATGATTTATCTCTGATTTGTGTTTTGTTGGTCATGCATGCATTGCTTTGTATAGCTATAGTTCAATCTAGCTTGTTAGCTTTGTGTATTGAGTCCACTAGCATGCATTGCTTGGCCTATTTGAATGATTTGGCATCATTTATTATGTGATTTCAGTGCATGTTTCATGTTCATGCATTCGCATTTGTCACTCATTCAATGCATTGGAGGGTTTGCCCCTTTATGCCTTAAAAATGAGCCATTGCGTATGCTTTCATGCCTAAGCTTGTGAGCTATCATTTCAATGTGTTTTTGGGGTTATTTTGCCATAATAAAACTCTAATTTTTGCTGGTTAAGTCATCCTATGCTTGGTCTTAATAGGTGTAGTGTAAACCACCTTATTTGCCTTGCATTCACCATGCCTTATGCCCTTCATGCTAGCATATTTTGGCTTCCTTCCTTACATGTTTTAGACTCATTTTAACATGTTCTAGGATTGTTTTGGGTTGCCGTGATCACATGCTTCATGTTTTACGTAGTTGTAGCACAAGTGCCTATGCTAGCTTCAAGCTTTGGGCACCATAGCATGCTTCATTTGTGTTGTGTACATGATTTGACATCATTTAATACTTCATTTTAGAGCTTATAGCATGGCTATGTTCCCACTTCTTTCATTCTTTAAGTGCCTTTGAGTGTTGTGCATTGTTGCCTTGCTTATGGCCTAGCATGTGTGATTGCATGCCTTGACCTTCGAGCCCCTAACTTAGCATGTTTTGGTCATTGTCTTGACCTATTTCAGCTCTGTCCATGTTTGGTCCATGCACTTGTGCCATGTATTGCATGCCCCCTTTGTAGTCCTCTTTACCAGCTTCATGCTTTAAGGACTTTTGCATGCTATGCTTGCTTTGTTTGAATGATTTGGAATCATTTTATACCTTATTTCAGAGCTTATAGTATTGTTACACTTCCACTTTTGCCTCTCTTTGAGCACTCTTGAGAGTTGTGCTCTTATGCCTGGGCGATGGGCCATTGCATTGTGCATGCATTTACTTTATACTTTGTGCCTTTGTCTTGGTGTTATGGCCACTGATTTGGGCATGGCTGAGGTCTGTCCATTTTGGTTTAAGTCCATTGAGCATTGTGTATGCCATGTTGATTCATTGCATTGTATATGCCATGTTCTTTGCATTGTGTATGCTTATATTACATTGCATTGTGTATGCATGCCATTAGCCTTGTTAGGTTGTTCATATTGCATTGCATGTGTTGCATGCTTAAGTTATTTTGCATATTTGCATGCTTGTGTTGCATTGCATTTTTACATGCTCCATGTTACATAGCATTGTGCATGCCATGTTATTTGTTGCATTGTGTTTGGATTAAGTGTTAATTCGAGCATGAGAAACGATGGATGTTTCATACTTAAAGTGATGAAACGTGCCCTCAATTCTCGGTCGCCGACGTTCTTGATCATACATGATAGAGTTCTAGGCTTTATGTGTTTATGTGTGCATTCATTTCATATTGAATTGTGCAACTTCGCCTCTCGGCCATCATGCATTGAGATGCGTGATTGGTGGCCCGAGGGTCGAGAACCGCACTCCCTTGAGCTTATGAAATGGTAGGGAGGGTGGTTGTGCACACATACTTTGCAAATACATTGCCATGCCCTTTCTTGCTCTCTGTTGCAGCAAATTGGAGAAATGCTGCAACAACTGGTCGGCCAGCCAAAAAAACTAGCTAGCCGACCACTTTTTCTGGTCTGCAACAAAGAAAAGTGGTCGGCCAATGGCTGGAAAGAGCAACAGCTGGTCAGCCGCCCTCCCACAGGTCCCCAAGGTGAGTTAGAAGTTTTCTGGAGCTTGGTGCAAGTTTCTGAGAACAGTTGCAAACAGAGGCGAATTGGGGCATCGTGACAAATTTCCGAACGAGGCGACTGGGCATGCATGCACTCTTCTCCCTCTGAGGACATTGTTTTACTGCTTTACTTAGCTAATTTGCTTAGCTAGTTTATGCTTTGGATTCTATACTTAAGTAGTTAATGCGTTTAGCTGCTTAATTGTTTTGTAATAGTTAGTTAACTAGGGTTAGTTAATTAGCTTCGTTGTGATGTAATAATTAGTTTAATTAGCTTAGATTAGCTAGTTAGCTTCTTTTCGGATCCTCCGTCGAGAGGGTCAACTGTTGTAATAAGCGTGTGTGTATGTGTGATGCATGTCTTCTAACCTCTATTTCTTTCTCCCTTTTACTTCAGACGTTCTCGCTCAAAACATTCTTCTGGTAGACACTTCAAGCGGTCATCCTTCCAGCTATTCACAGGACACTTGCCGTTGGCTTTTCTCAAAACTGGAGGCACGGAACAATACGAGGAGCAAGCATGAGCACAATTCCACATGAAAAAGAAAAAAATAACTAAAAATGAAAATATGAATGCACTAAGGATCAAGGACACGAGTAAGATGCAGCTTCTCACTTTCTAAGAGTTCGGCATCCATTTTGTTGTTGTCATCACTGGCCACGTAAGTCCACTTGTCCAGTGCCATGCCAAGAAATAATAATAACAGTATCAATGGATTTACACACGTATAAAAATAATATAAATACACACGTATAAAAATAATATAAAGTACCCCAAGACCTTATATCACTCGCCGACAAGGAATATGCTTAAAAGAAGTTGAATAACACAGGTAGCTAATCATGGCTAAAATGTAAGGGCCACATAAAAGACGTAATAAAAATATTAAATAGGATTATCTAACAAAATAAATAACCAATAGATAAGACAACTTGGACTCATCTTCCCAAATGTCATTGGCCTCTTACCTCATTCGGACAATTGTTTTCCAATTTCGCTGAGACGATTACGAAAGCCAAATGCTCAAGTCGTACCATCTCATCTCCTGCAACGTAAATTATTGAAATATAAAAAATCAAAAACAAAACTATAAACCAAAAACTAAAATACAAAAAACAAAAAATGTTATGCACGAACCTAATTCATCCAAACTACTCAATTGTGATGCAATCCCTAAACCGTTTTCCAAGAAGGCATAATATGGACATGGGTATATGTTCTAGACAGATATTCCATGGTCTTACTCTATGCTTCAAGCAAGCACAAAAATGCAAACTATTACTCACCGTAAAACAATAACAATAAAAGATCTGATATAAGACTACAAATAAAACTCACTCAACACAATTCGAAGGTAATAAAACCATGGAAGAAGAATTAAAATCACCGGCGGGTCCAATGGAAGGAGAGAAATCATACCATAAACACTCGCCACATCCCCCTATAACTTGTAAATGATGTATATAGGAACTTTCACAGGCTTCAGATCCAAACAGTTTAGCGGTCTATCATTGAGGATCCTCTGGATAGTCTCACCAACTCTAGATAGAGAGAGGCCAAACAAAATATGTTCTAGATTGATGAAACGGTGATCCTGCTGTAGACACCCCATTTTTGACCGACCTTAAGACTCAGACGTCATCGATTGAGCGCTCGGTGATTGCACATGTTGTGCTCATTTCGAGGTTTCGGAGTTTTCGACTGGGTGCCTTGCCTCCGGGCCTCTGAACTCTTTGTGCTTCGGCTTGGTTTGTGGACCAAGCTTTGTTTCTCTTCCCTGGAGGGAGGGAGAGGTCTTGTAGACCACTATTTTATGGTCGTAGACCACTTTTCCCACTTGGAGACTAGTTTTCGATTTTCGGAGCCTTTGGTCACGCGCCTTGTCTCGGGACCACTTAACGTTCTCCGTTTGGCGTGGTTTTTGAACCACACCTTGTTGCCTTGGCCTAGAGGGCCACTGTGGTTTGGGAGACCACTTTTGTGGTCGCAAACCACTTTTGGTGCTCGTCAGCTAGTTTTCGGGTCTCCCGGCTGCGCATCTTGCCTCTCGGACTTTCGTCTTGCATCCGTTTTGGTTTGTTTTTGGTACAAACCTTGTTTTCCTTGTTTGGAAGGTGGTACAAGGGCGGGAGACCTTGTTTTCCTTGGAGACCACTTTGTTTCCTGCCAACCAGTTTTCTGGTCAGACAACTAATTTTCTTGGTCTTTGGACCACCTTTTCAGGTCGGCCACCACACCATTGGCTTGCTTTCAGTGTGCAGACCTTTCCTACCCTTGGCCGACCAGTTGTCTTCTTGGAAGACCACTTATGGTGGTCGGCCGACCACTATAAGTAGCTCGGCTGTTTTTCACCAATTTCCTAGAGATATTTTCTTTACAGCTGTTACAGCTGGAAGGCACCATGTAGACGTCCCCGAACGTCCCGGGAGGGAATCCTGTTTTGTTCATTGGGCTCACTACAGTTCGGACTCGATGTCACGGTTCTGAATCTAATCTTGCAAAGTGCAATGCGAGATTGATAAATCACCAAAGAGTCCAAATCCGGAAAATCCTTTTGAAAAACTGATTTTAGAAAGAAGTGCCAAACATGGACTGCTTTGTCAGATACAGAGTCGCCACGTAAATATTTTGTTTTGGGGGAATTTAGGAAACCCTGACTCGTTGCCTAAGGCCACGTGTCCGTCATCACCAAAGTTGCCTCAGCTCGGGAACTTGGGTACGATTGGGGAAGGTCATCTATGAGCACCCCCACCCGCCTGATCAAAGATCGGCCACTACTACACATAATATCTTGTTTTTGAAAACACATGCGTTCTTATTCCGGTTATTAACCTAGAATTACTATGTGATGCGCACAACATACAAGTATAGACTAGATTGCCTGAGTTGGAATAAAACATCTCATGTTTGTTTTTAAAAGCGGTTTGCTACTCACAAGTAGGCTAAAATGCGGATTTTGCAACCCTCAAGTGGGCTTAGAAAATATGGTGATTTGCCATTCTCAAGTGGGCTTAAAACTCGTCATTGATGAATTGTTCCAATTCAAGTAATCCAACCTTCACCCACAGGCATTCAGGCAGTTATATCACATAAGCAGTTAGCCTCATGGTAAGTATGCTATCATGGTAGTCACTTACACACATGCAAGGATGCTAAAGCGTAAACACTTACCGAGTACTCTGAGCCAAAACAGAAACTAGTTAGTAATCAATGCATGATCCTAATTCATGTTAAGATGACTAATGCAACACATGCAAAATGCAACTAAGATAGGCTCAGCTATTCTAACATGGCATATGAGATGCTACAGATAACACGCATTCAACTTGGAATTGAAGTACAATGCAGTTAGTATGATGCGCCGAGCCCGGTGCATGCAAGATAGATGAATAGATGCAAACATGCGAGCATAAGGATGCTAATTGAAACGTGCCCTAAAACTAACCATCGAAAGTAAGTAAGTAAAAGGGAGAAAGACGTGGGGTTGGAAGACATACATCATACACACGCACACTTATTACAACATTCGCCCTCTCGACGGAGGGTTCGAAAGAATAATACAAACCAAATAAATAATTAACTATTTTAGCTAATTAATTATTACAAAGCCACTTAAGTAATTAAATAAATTAACTAAGCTAGTAAAGCGGTAAAGTAGCCTCGGGAAGAGGGATAAATGCGTGCATGCTCGGCTTCGCTCGGAAATCCATCGCCATACTCATGCTGCCTCTGTTTACACTGATCTATACTTCTGAAAACTTCACAGGTCCCAAGGAAGCTTCAGAATCACTCCCTGAGCACAGTGGGATGTCACCGACCAAGATAAAACAACACCGGCCATGGAGTTATGGTCATCGACCAAAAATGGGATCACCGGCACTATTTTGGTAGTCGGCCGGCATTGAAAGTTGTCGACCGGCCATTTCCTCCTGCAAAACACTGGTTTGCTGCAACAGAGGACAGACAGAGCATGGCGATGTATTTTCAAAACAATTTATGCACCACCACCCTCCTCAGCATGTTTGAGACTTAGAGGAGCATGGTTCTCGACCCTCGGGCCATCAATCACGCATTTCAATGCATGATGGCCCAAAAGAGTCAAGCGTGCAATTCAATATCAAATGAAATGCACAAAACACATAAGGGACCTTAACCTCTATCATGTGTGATCAAGAGGCAAGGCAATGCACACACAATGCTATGCAACCTAAGCATGCAAACATGCAAGCATGTAATCAACATATCAAATACATGACAGGATGCAAGCTAACAAGGATGCAAAATGCAACTTAAGCATGCAACGACATGCGATGAGCAAAGTATGCAACAACATACAAGGCGAGCATGCAACAACATGCAAAGGATGGACTTACACCAAGAAGGACAACTCTCTAATAGGTCCAAAACAGTGGCCAAAATGGTGAAACAAAAGCAGGAAGTACATATACAAACATGCACATTTTGATGGCCTAACACCTAGGCATAAAAGAGCAACTTTCAAGAGCACTTAAAAGGGGACAAAGATGGACAAATGACATACATTGTGAGCTCTAAAATCATGTTAGAAAAGGTGCCAAACTAACTAAACGAAGCAAGTAAAGCATGCAAGGAGGCCTAAAACTTGAAATTAGCCACGGGACTCAAACCAAGGCTACATGAAGCAAACCCCAAAGGGCCAAGGGGACCTAAAACAGTCCCAAGGTAGGTCTAAGCAAGACCAAAAATACACTTAGATGGCGTCTAAATGGCCTAAGCATGGAAGCATACGCAATGATCCATTCAAGGAGCATAAAACACAAACTCTTTAAGACATTAAAGGAGTGATAAATGTAAGTTCATAAGCATGAAATATGGACTGAAATAACATTCTAAGTGATGCCAAACCACTGAAATGATCTACATAGAGCATGCTAGCAACTTGGATACTCAAAGCTAACAAGCTAGATTACATGGTAGCTATGCAAAACAATGCAAGCATGGCCAAATCAATGAAAAACAGAGCATAAGCATGCTACAAAAAGCCTAAAAGCTTTATGGAGTTGGGCCAAAACATATAAGCATAGTAGTCTAAATGCTAGGTACACATTAAGGCATATCATGGGTTTACAAGACAAGTATACAAAGCAAGCATGGCATGTTTAAACCAAGGCAAAACAATGCTATATCATGGAAAAACAAAGCCTAATATATACTGAAATGAAGCTAAAACAAGCTAGGCAAACATGCTATAACATAAGCCATTTATGCAAACATTAAAGACAACAAGGAGAGGGGATGACCCTCTCCTTTTTAGGACTTCAAAACCACCTCTCCACCACTAAAAATCCTTTGGATTTCAGTGGTAGAGAGGCCATGCAAAGACCAAAACAATGGCCAAAAGGTATGGCCTAAAACAAGGCCTAACAAGGCCTTGGAGGGGGAGGACAACCCCAAACCTCAAAGTGACCTTAAACAAAGTTCTAAAACACACAAAATCAGAACTTTTATCAGTTATAGTCGAAGCTTAAAACAATAAGCAAGATATGCTAAAAGCTTGTGCAAAAATGGGAAATAAAAAGGTATGTTCTCACCTTTGAAGAACCTCTTCAAGAACACCACCCCAGCACCTTCCTTGGATCAAAACTAACCCAAGAACCCTAACAACAACTCCTTAGAGCCTCAGTAACCAAGGATGGTGTAACACTAGGTGTTTGTGTGCACTAGTGTGAACAAAAGTCACTTTAGGGCACAAAACACACACACAAAGGCAAAGAGAAGGAATTATAGAGATAGATAGATATAAACTTCCTAACCCTAATTCTCTGAACCTGGAGGAGGGAGGAGGGACTCCCTCTTTATAGAGGTTCAAATCCTCAAGCTTCCAAGAGAAGCTAAGCAAGAGGCAAATCCCTCCATACACGTGTATGGAGGGGGTGTAATGTGGATGCCAGCTGTGACAGTTGGCATAAAATATTTGCCAAAAGCGGATGGAAAGGGGTCGACTGGAAAATATGGCCAATTGACCAACAAAAATGGCCGGCCGACCAAATACATTGCCGACCGACCAAAATATTTGGCCGGTAGCAAGAAAACAGAGCCGGTGGCCTCAAGCCAAGGCCGGTGAGGTGTGGGGATGGCCAACAAGCCATTCCATGCCCTCAGAAGCAAAACACAAGTGTTTGGTGTACAACCAAGCACAAAACAAACAAGTCGAGAGGTCTTGAGGCAAGGCGTGCGACCGAAACCTTTGAGAACTCAAGACGAACACGAACATGGATGATCACCTAGTGTTCAAACGATGACGTCCAAGTCTTGAGGACGGTCAAAAATAGGGTGTCTACACACCAGAACCATCCTCCATACACGTGTATAGAGGGATGGCCTTAGACCCTAAGCTTGTCCAACAAGCTTACACTTTTGTTTCCTATAAGAGGGAGGCTTCCCCTCCCTCCTCCAGGTTTAGCTTTTTGGTGTTGGAGAGTGATGAATACATATATATCTCTATATCTCTCTCTTTGTTTCATTTTTGTGCCTTAAAGTGTAGTTTTATCATACTTTAACACACAAACACACACTCAAACACCATTATTTTGTTGTTGAGGTGCTTAGGAGCTGGTTTTGGTGTTGTTGGATTGGTTTGAGCTTGGAAAACTTGCTGGAGTTATAGCTTCAAAAGTGTTCTTCAAGGGTGAGCCTTTAACCCCTTAAACCTTGCTTTTTGCTTAAGCTTTTGAACCTATTTGCATGCTGTTTTAGGCTTAACTTCCTACTACAAAAAGTTTTGATTTTGGGTCCTTAAATTGTTTGTTTAAGGTCACTTTTGTGTTGGGGGTTGTCTACCCCCTCTTAGGCCTTGTTTGGCCTTGCTTTTGTGCCTTCTTTTTAAGCTTTTGGGACCACCTTATTTTGCCTTCTCACCACTGAAACTCAGAGAAATTTCAGTGGTGGAAGTGGTGTTTTGAGGTCCCAATAAGGAGAGGGTCATCCCCTCTCCTTGTAGTGTAAATCTCATAAACTAGTCTCGTATGCTTCATGAAGTAGCATGTCATTCTAGCTTGATTTGAGTCCATTTCAGCATGTTCTTGGTGTTGCTTTTCCATGTCATACCTCTGTTAAGGTTTGGTTTGGTTGGCCCTTGCATGCTCCTTACACTTGTAGTGCAATTCCTTAAATTAGCCTAACATGCATCATGCTTTAACATGTCATTCTAGCATGCTTTTGGCTTAACTCTAAGAAGCTTTTGTCCATGTTTTAACATGATTTATCTCTGATTTGTGTTTTGTTGGTCATGCATGCATTGCTTTGTATAGCTATAGTTCAATCTAGCTTGTTAGCTTTGTGTATTGAGTCCACTAGCATGCATTGCTTGGCCTATTTGAATGATTTGGCATCATTTATTATGTGATTTCAGTGCATGTTTCATGTTCATGCATTCACATTTGTCACTCATTCAATGCATTGGAGGGTTTGCCCCTTTATACCTTAAAAATGAGCCATTGCGTATGCCTTCATGCCTAAGCTTGCGAGCTATCATTTCAATGTGTTTTTGGGGTTATTTTGCCATAATAAAACTTTAATTTTTGCTGGTTAAGTCATTCTATGCTTGGTCTTAATAGGTGTAGTGTAAACCACCTTATTTGCCTTGCATTCATCATGCCTTATGCCCTTCATGCTAGCATATTTTGGCTTCCTTCCTTACATGTTTTAGACTCATTTTAACATGTTCTAGGATTGTTTTGGGTTGCCTTGATCACATGCTTCATGTTTTGCGTAGTTGTAGCACAAGTGCCTATGCTAGCTTCAAGCTTTGGGCACCATAGCATGCTTCATTTGTGTTGTGTACATGATTTGACATCATTTAATACTTCATTTCAGAGCTTATAGCATGGCTATGTTCCCACTTCTTTTATTCTTTAAGTGCCTTTGAGTGTTGTGCATTGTTGCCTTGCTTATGGCCTAGCTTGTGTGATTGCATGCCTTGACCTTCGAGCCCCTTACTTAGCATGTTTTGGTCATTGTCTTGACCTATTTCAGCTCTGTCCATGTTTGGTTCATGCACTTGTGCCATGTATTGCATGCCCCCTTTGTAGTCCTCTTTACTAGCTTCATGCTTTAAGGACCTTTGCATGCTATGCTTGCTTTGTTTGAATGATTTGGAATCATTTTATACCTTATTTCAGAGCTTATAGTGTTGTTACACTTCCACTTTTGCCTCTCTTTGAGCACTCTTGAAAGTTGTGCTCTTATGCCTGGGCGATGGGCCATTGCATTGTGCATGCATTTACTTTATACTTTGTGCCTTTGTCTTGGTGTTATGGCCACTGATTTGGGCATGGCTGAGGTCTGTCCATTTTGGTTTAAGTCCATTGAGCATTGTGTATGCCATGTTGATTCATTGCATCGTATATGCCATGTTCTTTGCATTGTGTATGCTTATATTACATTGCATTGTGTATGCATGCCATTAGCCTTGTTAGGTTGTTCATATTACATTGCATGTGTTGCATGCTTAAGTTATTTTGCATATTTGCATGCTTGTGTTGCATTGCATTTTTGCATGCTCCATGTTACATAGCATTGTGCATGCCATGTTATTTGTTGCATTGTGTTTGGATTAAGTGTTAATTTAAGCATGAGAAACGAGGGATGTTTCATACTTAAAGTGATGAAACGTGCCCTCAATTCTCGGTCGCCGACGTTCTTGATCACACATGATAGAGTTCTAGGCTTTATGTGTTTATTTGTGCATTCATTTCATATTGAATTGTGCAACTTCGCCTCTCGGTCATCATGCATTGAGATGCGTGATTGGTGGTCCGAGGGTCGAGAACCGCACTCCCTTGAGCTTATGAAATGGTAGGGAGGGTGGTTGTGCACACATACCTTGCAAATACATTGCCATGCCCTTTCTTGCTCTCTGTTGCAGCAAATTAGAGAAATGCAGCAACAACTGGTCGGCCAGCAAGAAAAACTAGCTAGCCGACCACTTTTTCTGGTCTGCAACAAAGAAAAGTGGTCGGCCAGTGGCTGGAAAGAGCAACAGCTGGTCAGGCGCCCTCCCACAGGTACCCAAGGTGAGTTAGAAGCTTTCTGGAGCTTGGTGCAAGTTTTCGAGAACAGTTGCAAACAGAGGCAAATTGGGGCATCGCGACAAATTTCTGAACGAGGCGACTGGGCATGTATGCACTCTTCTCCCTCTGAGGACATTGTTTTACTGCTTTACTTAGCTAATTTGCTTAGCTAGTTTATGCTTTGGATTCTATACTTAAGTAGTTAATGCATTTAGCTGCTTAATTGTTTTGTAATAGTTAGTTAACTAGGGTTAGTTAATTAGCTTCGTTGTGATGTAATAATTAGTTTAATTAGCTCTGATTAGCTAGTTAGCTCTTTATTCGGTCTCTCCGTCGAGAGGGCCAACTGTTGTAATAAGTGTGCGTGTGTGTGATGCATGTCTTCTAACCCCCATTTCTTTCTCCCTTTTACTTAACCGCTTACGATGGTTAGTTCTAGGGCATATTTTAATTAGCATACCTTATGCTCATATGCGTGCATCCATTCATCTGCTTTGCATGCACCGGGCTCGGCGCATCATACAAACCGCATTGTATTTTCAATACATTTACTTGAATACGTGTTTAACAACATGTTATCAAGTTGCATTTCACATGATATTCTAAATAGCCGAGCTTATCCTAGCTGCATTGTTGTATGTGTTGCATTAGCCATCTTAATATGAACCAGGATCATGCATGATTTCTAACTAGTTCTTTGTTTTGGCTCGGAGTATACTGTGAGTGTTTACGCTTTAGCATACTGCATGTGTGTTATTGTTACCATAAAAGCATGCTTGCCATGAGGCTAACTGCTTATTTGATATAACTGCCTGAATGCCTGTGGGTGAAGGTTGGATTACTTGAATTGGAACAATTCATTGAATCCCTCATTTAGCCTACTTGTGAGTAGCAAACTTCAAAACCGTTTTTAAACAAACATGCAATGTTTTGTTCCAACTTAGGCGATCTAGTCTATACTTGTATGCTGTGCGCATCACGGTAGTAAGATTAGCTAATATAAACCGGAATAAGCAGCACATGTGTTTTTCAAAAAACAAATATCATGGTTTAGTACAGGCCGCGATCTTTGTCGGCGAGCGGGGGTGTCATTGTCATGACCTTCCCCTCCTACCCAAGTTTCCCGAGCCGAGCACTTGTGATGCGGGACCGTGGCCTTAGCACAAATCAGGGTTCCTAAAATTTTTCCCCCAAAATAAAATATTTAGGTGGCGACTCTGTATCTGGAAAAATTAGTCCATGTTGGCACTTCTTTATAAAAATTAGTTTTTCCAAAACGATTTGCCGGCATTGGACTCTTTGGTCGATTTATCGGTCTCACATTGCACTTTGTGAGATTAGAATTCAGAACCCATGACATATGAGTTCGAACGTAGGTAGCTAAGATTCGATAGTTCTCCAGGGCACGTCTACACCCGCATTCTTCTTTCATGATCAACATTGAACTACTTCGATAACCTCATTTGCAAAATGTCAAATACACCACTATGATAAAGGAAAAGTAAACTGCCCTGAAACGCTGCAACTATTGTGCGCTGCGCATGTGCAAGCACATGTGAGAGAAGAAAAAGGAAGAAGTTGACAAGACAAGTAACAACAAACATAGGATGCCACCACCAAGCATCTCCATCTCTATTGCACGAAAAAAATTATAGGTGACAAGGACACCATGAATTGTAAACGTGAAAAATGACGATCACAATTACATGCTAAAAAATTAAAAGGAGCATATAAATCATACACTTCAAATCATCAACAGCAAGCATATCACAAGACGACATACTATGAAACGTAGACAAGACATGCATACGGACACGGAAACACCAACACAGGTACGACATCACACGGATACATCAACGTGGAAAAATTTTAGTAAAAGAAAAACTATTAGCAAAAACATAATTGTAACACGTTCTCTCATCCTTTTAAACCATATGCCTAATACGATTTACATAATCTTTGTATTTATTTTATTCGTGAAGGTTCTGAGGATCTATTCTTAAGAACTACACATTTTTAAGGGTATAAGATAATGTATGTCAAATCTCAACTTTGAAACTAAGACGTCAGCAAATCTCTAAAAATTGTTGTCTTAATGTTTATATTTTAGAGATAAACATGCCAAAGAAATGAAGGACACGTTTGCAAAATGAATGTCAAACTCGTGTCCAAAATTTCAGGATTTTTATTTTTAATTATGGACAAGAAAAAAAAATAAAAAATAAAAAATATATATTGAGCAACATGTTCCAAGTGTCAGAAGCCAGCTTTACGGATCCGACGAGGGACATGTCACCTTCTCAGAAGTGTGTGATTCTTAGCCATAGAATCCAAAAATTAGCAAAGACTGCAAGACGATATAAAACTAATGCCCATCACACTCCCAAAATAGTACAGTGTACAACATCCCAAATCCCAATCATCTTACATATCGACTATAATTTATGCAGAAGTTGCACAATAGATGCTACCTGCGGAAATATAATGCAGCATACAATTGCAAAAATAAATAAATTTGCACAAACCTACTACATTTAGCTAAGAAAACAGCAAATACTGTCGAAAGTTTTTCCTAAGAAATTCAAATATAAGCCAATAACAAATTTAATGATATAAACAGCACCCTCCACTGCGATGAATTAATTCACATGTTAATCGGTAAGATAAAAGACAAATCAATACAAACTACTTTCATCTCCATGCTGTGCACATGCAAATGCAATTATGTATAGAGTTTGCAAAAAACAGCTGATCTAAAATTAAAGTGCGCTGAAGTTGACCTTAAACGGAGTTGGCAAAGAATGACAATGAATTAATAAAATATAGCTTTCTCTAAATCAAACTGACAACTTTTAGATCGTTTAACTGGATAGGATTCAAAACATAATCTTCTAGCACTTTCAATGGCACCCAAAAACAAATTTTACAGTCATTGGGATATCTTTAAAAGAAATATACACGCCAAAACCAACAAACAAAAATCAAATGCACACATAGGCCATTAGTAGTATCAGCTAATAATAAGAACAGATAAACCCACTTTGAGCCGGATACTGCCAATTCCTCTTTGGAAAGAGTATACAAAACATGCACAAGGATTGAGTATAGCCTACACATACAGTTATAATAAATAAACAGGTTTGGGTAAAAGTATATTGTTATCGGATATAGAAAAAGGGGAAATGATCACACAACGTTATTTTTTTATTGATAAGCAATCATACAATGGTATTCATTTAACTGCCACATCGCATTTGGGGCCGAGGAAGAAAAATCATAACATAGAAGGAAACAGTGTTGGTTTCAAAAGCAGCATATGCAGAATTCAGACAACTATGGACATATGCTGATGCAAGAAGCACTACTCAATCCCTCCATCTACTTTGCAACCAGGAAATAAAACATAAATTGGAGGATGAAAGTCAAATAAAAACACAGACACACGTCACAAATAAAAAAACAGAAGGGTGTACCGCGGATATTTTGAGCTCGGCCAAGAAGAATAGCCCACACTTGAAAGTATGAACAAATTCAGAGAGCTTAGAATTTTCTAAATTAACTAACTCCTCAAACTTGACACACTTCCAAGCCTCTACAAATAAAGTATCAAGAACATGGTAACCTCTTGCGCGCCTCAACTCCAAAGTTAGCTGCACTTTACAATCTTCCTGGTTTTACAAGAGCAAAATTGAACATAATGATTCACCTCTTTAAAAGAAATGTAAACCATAATAAATGAGATACAATTTTGGAAACACATCAAGGCACAGCAGCGAAAGAGTTAATATGCCAACAAGATCAGACTGGACAAGCAGCCCAACTGACTGGACAGAAAATCTGTTTGCCATTATCATCAGTTGCAATGCCTTTGGTATGCCAACAAGATCAGACACAAATAGCACCCTAACTCACAAGGTTGGAACACCAAACATTTGAGAAAAGTAATTTGATCATTTTGATGTAAATTTTAATACAGATTGCTTAATAAAAGTAAAGGAAACTGATGTTAAAGGAAAGAACCAGACAATCATAGAGACTTTCATAACACCAAAATTGATTTCAAGCTCATACCTTCAAAGGCACATACTTCTGCATTTCACCCAATGCAAGGCCTCTATCACGTGAGCTACTAACAATATCCAACTACAACCATAAGAATCACAAATTAGCATAACACGATGAGGCATTCATCATTGATAAATGAATTAGTAGAACAATTAGAATGTTCTATCTAGAAAAAGTGCACAATTTTAGTCCATAAGTTGAAACAAAAATTACCATGTTTGGTTTGAGTTTTTTGGATTAAGTTTTTTGAAAATTAAGTTTTTTGTTTTTCGTGTTTTTTTGTTTTTAATGAATATTTTTAAAATTTTAGGCATTTTTTTTACTTTTTTAGATGCACCTTACTTAGATGTATCTAAAAAGTAAAAAAACTGTGAAAAAATATTTTAACAATTTGATAAATACATAAAAATACAAAATATACACTAAATTCTCGTTTTTTTTTTTTTTGTATTTTTGGTATTTAGTGAATTTTAAAAAAAAAAATCACAAAAATTACACTTTTTATGTGTATTTATGTTCGCTGTGTCTAAAAATCAAAAAAAATTGCTTAAAATATTAAAAAAAATAGTAAAAACAAAAAAAAAACACGGAAACACAAGAAAGAAGAATTTTCTGAAAAGTGATTTTTGGAAAACCAAAAACAAGCAAAGTGAATATTACCTTGGCCTTGGAAATATCCAAATCCCAAAGAAAAACCTATATTGAAAAGTAAGCACACAAAATCAGAGTTCACAAAAACACAATAAAGAACAAAGGAAAATAACCAAAAAAAGAAAAAGAAACCCACATCAAATAATTATTTGAACAAATGACAAAGATAAGGTTTGAAGTGAAAAGCTAGTTAGAGGAATAAAAAATAATTAAAAAAAACACCATTGTCCCAAAAAAAATAAAAAATAAAAAAAAAAACACAACCACTAGCAAGAGACAAGCAATTTGGAAAGGCATTGTTTGCAAAAATGAGCCAGAAGACAACAGTAGTGATTATCCAGAAAAAAGGTTTGCATGGACTCTGAAAGATGAAACATTTTTAAGTTGCAAAACAACAGACAAATAAGAGAACAAACAAGGGAGCCAAAAGGGTCATCTAACTCACGCTCACCCCCTTTATGTTTCAAGCAGCTGAGTGCAATAAATTATGGGAAGAAACTATTGAAAATTAACAATTAAAGCAAACAGCGAGAAAGAAAGGGTGAGCATTGGGCTGTGATCGCACAAATTGAGTCACTCAAATGGGCAGTTCGTTTTTCCTAAATTAGAATACAAGCCTTGAATTAGATAAAATGGGTAGAGTTGTAGGCTGGGCCAGAATTGGGAGTGCCAGCTGGTGTCCAAGTTTTTGACTTCATTGAGGCTTTATAACTCTTTGACTATTTCTTGTCATCAAAGAGGCAGCAGTGAGAATATTGGGAGCAGGTGGATGTACAGGGGTAAACAGGTGCACCTCAATTGCTTCCCGGCAGACAGATGTTATAGAATACATGGATTGATGGATATGTGGGTCAGATTCCTTGGACTGCCACTCCACTTGTAATGTGTTTCAGGCTTTGGAGATGCATGTGGTGGCTTTGTCAAAATGGATGAACATGACAAAAAGCTGGCAATAGGTTTTCAAGCATGTCATAGAATTTTCCAGTGATGACCAAGACGCTCAAAGGTCACCAAAGCCAAGGATGATGAGTGAAGGTGTATGACATATGGGAACTGCACAGAGACTGAGTGTGTGGGAGGTAATGAATCCCTTATGGGATGGTGGTACAATTGTCCGACAGATGGAGATTTTTTCAAAATTTAAGTGTAGAAACAAAGGGGTATGTGGATAAAGAAGGTTTGACCACGTGACAAGGATCTGAACGTACCATTTTTACTATTGGTATGGTACACACCGCTACCGTTGAATTTTGGTATACTGTTTCAGATTTATAATCATAAACAAAATATTAAAATTTAATTTAGATGTATATATTATAACAATAAAAAATTTATTTTTGAAAAAAAAGCCAACTTGACTGGTAATCAAATTCTCCTATAACAAAGAAAATAATAATATTAATAACAACAATAATAAGTAATGGAAAGTGTTTACTTTTTAGAGTGTCAACAAACCTTTCCCAAGCGTTTTATTCTTCCTCTTTTTTCTTGCTTTGCTGCTTGCTTTAAATTCTTTGCAAAGTAGAATAATGCAGTTTTCATTTTGAAAACCATGTCATCACTTCAGGAACCGAGAGTTGTACATATTCTATTCTCCTTCCCTCCCTCCTTGCCGAATGCAACATACAACTCCCCGTTGTACTACACTCTCCAAGTGTGTTTGTTCCCCCCTTTTTCCATACCAAATAAGAATCCCCCCCCCTATCTATCTCTATCTCTGCGTGCATGCGTGCGCTCGCGGCGCACTAGATACTTCTCTTCTATCTTCTGATTTTAGTATATCGGACAATAACAAAAACAGAAGCCGGAATAGCCGAAAAATGAAAAAACTACAAGATAGACAGAAATAGTCCAGTATTTTGAGTGAAAGAAAAGATGGATGCATGTACCATTTTTGTGCCGGAGGGGAACCCCCGGGGGTGTACTGACAAATACAATACAAATTATTAACATTGGTCCAAACCAGGGTTGAATGGTATGTAAGTGAGGCCATGAAATGTGTCATTGGAAGGAAAAGGAGAAGCAATAACTAGGTGGAGGACAAAATCAATCAGCATTCCATAAAAGACTCCTAATAATACTAATCACTTCACTTCAAATGCATCCAACAAGCAGAACACAATAATTCCCTCTTGTTTGAGAAAACATGAACTTAAGTTCCATTCAATATCCAAAAAAAAAAAAAATAGAACCATCTAAATCTTCATTTTTCAATAAAGTTTTTTTTTTAAATTAAAAAAAAAAGTCTAAATCCTCATCTTGCATCTTTGCTTTGATTTTAAACTAATGCAACTTGGCTGATCAAAAAAACCAAATGCAACTTGGTCTTCATGATAATTTATCAAACATGTCCAGGCAACTATAACATGCAAACTTTATGTTAGAGAGAGAGAGAGATAAAAAATAGACGATAATGGAAAGAGAAGAAAAGAAAATACGGGCAAAAGAACAGGAGGCGAAAAGTGGGAATAAGTAGGAGCTATGAAGCAAGGACACCTCTCCGAGGGCTACGTATCAATGTCGGACACGGACACGGACACGCGTCGAATATGCGGTGCACACGTGTCTGACATGTCGCAGAAGGTGTCCCTTTTTTTTTTTTGTGCAGTTGGACACATTATGGACACGTTTCAAACACTGCGGGGTCAAAAACAAAATTTCTAAAACTTCAAGTGGGCATTTGTAAAAAACAAAAATTGAAACAATCAAACCAAACCCTAACCTTGATTTCAAACAGAAAGAGGAGAAAAGGCCGATTTGCTCTTGCCAAGGTATGTATGTTCTTCTTCTTTCGATCTTCTTCTTCTTCTTTCGACCATCTTCTTCTTCTGCTTTTCAATCTCACTCTCTCTCTTTCGACTTCTCTCAATCGCTCTCTCTCAGTCGCTCTCTGGCTGTCTCTCTCTTTCTTTCTTAGTCGCTCTCTCTCTCTCTCTCTCTCTCTCTCACAGCCTCACTGTCTCTCTTTTTGTCTTTTCTTTTTCCTTTTTATGCTGATATTCAATCTCTCTCTCTCTGCTTTTTGTTTATGTTGTTCTTTTTTCATTTTTTTCTTATTTTTTTTGGCTTTTCTCAGTCTTTAAACTTTATCTCTATTATTTATTTATATATTTTTGGCTAATTAGTTTATTTATTTATTTATTTTCTCTACTTTCAATAAAAAAAAATTTATAATTTTATGACATAATAAATAAATTTAATTGTATATTCAACGTATCCCCAGCATGTCGTGCAGTGTTATTAAAGGTGATAGGCGAACTAAGGCATCAAGGTCTCCTGGGGCCTAGGCTCAAGACACAAGGCGAGGTGCAGGCTTCACCGAAGTGAGGCGCACCTTATACAGAAAAAAAATTAAAAAATAATAAAATTAAATAAGTAAATAGTTTAGGGTTTAGCATAAACAAATTGAAATGTTAACCATTTAGTGTTTTTTAGAGATTATGAATCAGGGCTAATTTTTCTTCCATCATTGATTTAGGGTTGAATGCCCAATGTATTGGCATCTATAGTAAGAGTAGAGATCTTCTGTAGCTACACCATATAAAATCAATGATCAGATTTTAAACAAAACCAATTAAAGTAACAATAAAAAAGCCCTCAAGACGCAAGCCTTGGGCTAGTTAGGCGCCTTATCAAAGTTGCTTGGCTTGGAACACTACAAGGCGCAAACCTTGGGCTTGGATGGGACTTCGACCTAGGCGCATGCCTAGCCGCGCCTTATTGAAGTTGCTTGGCCTGGAACACTACAAGGCGCAAACGTTGGGCCTAGATGGGACTTGAGCCTAGGTGTGCCTTTAATAACACTGGTGTCGTGTCCCCCATTTTTTAAAAATTTGCGTGTTCGTGTCATGTCATGTGTCCATATTCGTGTCTGTGCTTCATAGAGTAGGAGGAAATGCATAGAGAATCTCAAGAAAGGAATAAGAATAGAGATTGGGGGAAGTAAAAGATGGGAACATAACACAATCCCAAAGCAATATTTCAATCTCAATTATTCAATACTCAAATAATATTAACTATTATAAATATTGTCGTTTCAAACCAACTTTATTAATGAGCTTTTTTGTCATTGTTTATCATTTTCAATTTTTCAATCACCATTCTTTCTTTTTTTAGCAACTTTCAAACAATAAATGCCTAAAAGTAATTAAAAAAAACAAAAAATGAAAAAAAGAATGTTAATTTTTTTTTAAAAAAAAAACAAGACAAAGAAGGCAGCTAAAAAAGATTGATATTAATCTATCGACCCCTATGACACTCCACATGGTTAACTGATGAATAATGATGATTAATCCATCATTTCCTAATAACACAATTCATTTTACAAATATTCACCACATAACCTATGCAGCTAACACTAGATTTATAGAATTACTCCAATGCAAAGTGACACCAGATTCCTAAACTATCAATATGGTTAGGTGCATCTAGACAATCATTTAAAAGTTTCAATTTCAAATAGATGGTATGACCAATTTATGCAACAAAAAAATTAGGGAATCCATCTTGCTTTAAATACAAAACCAAGTAGCGAATATCTTGGAAAAAATCAACCAACACAACTCGAATACACTTCCAGAAACAAAACAAGAAGACGAAATATTACCTTGAAGTCGTCGTATTGGTACCCATAATCTTTAAATATCGATAAGTATCTCTGATATCGTTGCATACATGCAATTATCCATGCAAGAAACACATGGGATAGTAAGTATTAAGGTTAAGACTCATTGCTACGCAAAAGGAAATAATTGTTACCTGTTGCATCTCACCAACATCATGTTCCCTTAGGATAGAAAATGCTTTTACATCCATCCCCTCTTCAGTAAAGGCTTTCAGAGGACCACCATCAGACTGCATATCAGGGAAGGAGTTGAATGATCAATTCCACGAAAGAAGATGGGTAAAAAAAAATAGAGGAAACAAGTGTTCAAGTCAGGTGCTGTTTGAAAAAGCTAAAAACAAAAGACTAAAAATTAAGTATTAAGAACTGAATTCTTAATTTTTTAAGCTAACAAACCTGTTAGATAAAAATTGCGCTAAACTAAAAATAAGTTACATGTATAAGATCAAATTTGAAATTTATTATCTTCAGCTTGTATATTTCAATTTTCATATTGCGATGATGGTCGTAGTGGTGGGTTGTGGTGGTAGTGGTGGGTTGTGATGGTATGATGATGATGGTGATGGTGATAGTGATGGTGATGGTGATGGCATGGTGGTTGTGGTAGCAGTATCAATGGTAATGGTAGTAAATGATGGTGTTGCTTATGGCAACAATGACAATGGTGATAAAGGTAGTGGTGGTGGTAGTGGTGGCAGCATGATAAGGGTAGTGGTGGCGATAACAGTGGTAGTGATGGCATTGGCATGGTTGTGGTGGTGGTGGTGGTGATAGTGGTAACGATAGTAGTGGTAGTGGTAGTAGTAGTGATGGTGGTGGTGGCATGACAATGGTAGTGGTGGTAGCAGCGGCGGAAGCCGTAACGGTGGTGGTGGTGGTAACGGTAGCAGCCATTTGATTGCACACACTTCTCCGGCAATGACATTGAGTGCAAGTTTTTCCGACAACCACAACTCCATGAGACGAGAGGAGTACAACAATAAAAACTCAAGAGATTCATAACTTTGATGGTGTTCTTAGCTTAGAATAAATTGGTCTTGTAAGGGTAAATTTTTTGAAAAAAATGGCAAAAATAATAAAAATTGTTCGTCATTTTTTCGGGACTGAACTCCCAAACATATGACCAAAATTTGGGAACACAGGTTCAATCATTGTTTATTTGTTTAGGAACAGGTAACCGAACATTTCTTATTTGTTCCAGAACAGATAACCGAAGCAGTAGTAGAAGTAGGCAAACAAAGGAGGTCGGACCACCCTTGGGTGGTCGACCGGTGGGTGAAATCCTACCTTGTTTTGCTCACACAGTAAGGGCATGGATAAATGACAGAAAACCAACCAGAAAAGCATGAAAGTGGGTTGTGTTGTGTCGTGCCATGTCGTGTGAAAATAGATAATAGAAAGAAAAAAAAAAATTCAAACAGATTGACAAATCTTATAATGATGCAGAGAAAAATTCTAAATCACCACAAATTTTTTCCACTGGTTTTGGGAGGTTGCACTGTCGTGGGTTTTGTTAGGGTTTTGAGAGAGAGGCTTTTTGGGGTGTGGGGGCGTGGGGGCGTAGGGCGTGCATTTTAATGCAAGGAATGCTTTTACAAAGATAATTTTGGTATCATTTGGGGTGAGAAAAGAAATTTTAAGGGTTTTAGAATTTATAAATGGGGGTCCAAAGAAATGGGGAGTCCAAAATAATTGATGGAGTGCTAATAGTAGCCCTCATAAAAAAACATAGAACCAACTTGTATTTAAAGATTAGTTTTCAGTGACTAGTCTCACTGGCATAAGATTCAGAGGTTTTTTTTATTATTATTTTAAAGCAGATTTTCAGCTTTAAGGTGGTAACCTGTTGTGTGCTATGAAATGCACTTGATTGCCCAACCACTGAATATATCAAGAAATAAGCACTTCATATATCTCAAATCTTGATAACAAAAGCATTCCATAGGTATGCACCTCAAGATGTGATTGGTATGAAGAATAGAGTGCAGCATATTTTTTTTTGATCTTACGTACATTATATATTCTTTTGAAATCATCCTGCAAGAAGAACCAAAACAAACATAAGGACAATAAAAGAAGTGTTTATGTAAATCGAAAGAACCCAACTCCCACACAAAATGGTCTTGCTACTGGATAAGGAAGGTTTGATCACGTGACAAGGATCTGAATGTACCATTTTTACTATTGGTATGGTACACACCGATACCATTGAATTTTAGTATACTGTTTCAGATTTACAATCATAAGCAAAATATTAAAATTTAATTTAGATGTATATATTATAACAATAAAAAATTTATTTTTGAAAAAAAAGCCAACTTGACTGGTAATCAAATTCTCCTATAACAAAGAAAATAATAATATTAATAACAACAATAATAAGTAATGGAAAGTGATTACTTTTTAGAGTGTTAAGAAACCTTTCCCAGGCGTTTTATTCTTCCTCTTTTTTCTTGCTTTGCTGCTTCCTTTAAATTCTTTGCAAAGTAGAATAATGCAGTTTTCATTTCGAAAAAAATATCATCACTTTGGGAACCGAGAGTTGTACATATTCTACTAACAATATCCAACTACAACCATAAGAATAACAAATTAACATAGTACAATGAGGAATTCATCATTGGTAAATAAATTAGTAGAACAATTAGAGTGTTCTATCTAGAAAAAGTGCACAATTTTAGTCCATAAGTTGAAACAAAAATATTGCCTTGGCCTTGGAAAGATCAAAATCCCAAAGAAAAACCTATATTGAAAAGTAAGCACGCAAAATCAGAGTTCACAAAAAGAAAAGAAAGAAAAAAAAAATAGGGAAAATAACCAAAAAAAAGAAAAAAAAGAAACCCACATGAAATAATTATTTGAACGAATGACAAAGATAAGGTTTGAAGTGAAAAGCTAGTTAGAGGAATTAAAAAAAAAAAAAAAAAAAACAAAACT